CCCATAAATTTTGACAAATTGTGTTTTTGTTTTCATTTGTTTTAAAATATTTTAAGATTTCTCTCGATGTTTCTTCTTTGAACCAAATGTTGTTAGAGTTGTGTTAATTCCAAGTATTTTGGGATTTTCCAGTTATCCTTCTGATATTGATTTCTAGTTAATTCCCTTGTGCTCTGAGAGCAGACATTGTATGGTTTCTGTTCTTTTAGCATTGTTAAGGTGTGTTTTATGGCCCGAAATGTGATCTGTCTTGGTGAATGTTTCATGTGACCTCAAAGAAAATGTGTATTTTGCCGTTGCTGGATGCAGTAGTCTGTAGATGCAATTATGTCCAGTTGATTGAAGGTGGTGCTGAGTTCAGCTTGGGCCTTGCTGATTTTCTGCCTGCTGGGTCATTCATTCCTGATAGTGGGGCATTGAAGTCGCCAGTCTGTAACAGTGGATTCATCTGTTTCTCCTTGTAGCGCTATCAGTTTTTGCTTCACGTGTTTTGACGCTCTGTTGTTAGGTGCATGCATGTTAAGGATTGTTGTCTTCCTGGAGAATTGACACCTTTATCATTATATAATGCCCCTTTTTATCCCTGATAACTTTCCTTGCTTTGAAGTTTGCTTTTCCTGAAATTAGTATAGCTACTCCTGCTTTCTTTTGATTAGTGTTAGCATGGTATATCTTTCCTTATATATATATCTTTATATTTAAAATGGGTTTCCGGTACATAACATATAGTAGGGTCTTGTTTTTTTGATCTACCCTGACAATCTCTGTCTTTCAGTTTGTACATTTAGACTATTGCTATTCAAAGTGATTATTGATATTGTTGAATTAATATTTACCACATTTGTTTTCTTTGATTTTTGTTCCTGTTTCTGTTTTCCATCCTTTTTTTAACCTTTTGCAGTTTTAACTAAGCAATTTAAATGATTTCATTTTCTCTCCTGTCTTAGCATATCGGTTGTACCTTTAAAAAAACTTTTTTTGTGGTTGCCCTAGAGATTGCAATATGCATTTACAACTAATCCAGGTCCACACTCAGATAAAACTACTGTTTCACAGGTAGTGCAGGTACCTTATAATCACAAAATAATCCTAATTCCTTCCTCCTGTCCTTTTTGTCATTGCTGTTATCCATTTAACTTATATATAAACATACATAAGTGTATATATATATATATATATATATATATATATATGCACACACACTAAATATTATATATATATGATATACATATATATATGGTATGTACATAAGCATATGTAATTATATACCTTGTTGCTATTATTATTTTGAACAAACTGTTTTTTAAATTTTTCCTTTACTTATTCCTTCTCCAGTGTTCTTTCTTTATGTAGAATCAAGGTTTTGACCTATGTAACTTTTCTTCTCTCTAAAGAACTTCTTTTAACATTTCTTGCAAGGCAGGTCTACTGGCAACAAATTCCCTCAATTTTTGTTTGTCTCAGAAAGTCTTTATTTCTTTCTCACTATTGAAGGGTTATTTTTCAGGGTAGAGAATTCTCAGTCATTATTGTGTCAAGTATTTCTTTTGATCCTTTCTTTCTTTCTTCTCCTTCCTATATTCCTGTTACGTGTATATTACACCTCTTGTAGTTATCCTGCAGGTTCTGGATATTCTGTTCTGTTTTGGGTTTTTGTTTATTTTCTTTTTCAGTCTTTGTTCTCTTTGCTTTGCGGTTTTGGAAGTTTCTGTTGAGACATCCTTAAACTCAGAGATTCTTTCTTCAGCTGTTAAATCTACTAATAAGCTTATAAAAGGCATTCTTTATTTCTGTTACAGTGTGTTGATCTCCAGCATTTTCTTTTTGGTTCTTTCTTGGACTTAGCATCTCTCAGTTTGCATTGCCTACCTGTTCTTGCAAGCTGTCTACTTGAATGTATTAGAGCCCTTAGCATAGTTGCTTTAAATTCCCTGTCTGCTAATTCCAACACTCCTGCCATATCTGAGTCTGGCTCTTGCTTGCTCTGTCTCTTCAGACTGTTTTTTGCCTTTTAGGATGTCTAGTAATTTTTTTTTTTTTTCCTTTTTGATATTTGGACATAAAATGTACCAGGTAAAAGGTACTGCTGTAAATAGGCCTTTAGTGACGTGGTAGTGAGGTGTGGGGGAGGGGAAATGTTCTGTAGCCTCTCATCCTGTTATTAGAGCCCCGTCAGGTAAGGAGTTGTACCTACAGGCTGTGAGCTCTACCTGTGCGTCTCCACTTTCCCCTCCTCCTTAGGGAGGACAGGCTGGCTGGAGTGGGCTGCAGTTGGTTATGGTATTGGTTGATGTACCATAATTTATCTAACCAACCGTCTCTGGCTGTGCACTTGTCTCTAGTTTTTCTCTAGTTGAAGAAACACTGTAATGAACCTACTCGGAGCTGAATCTTCTTGCATGTCTGTGGTCTTCTTGAAAGAGTCTCTAGAAGTGTTTTTGTCAGATTAGTGGATACGCAGCTTCTTGTGTTTGATAGGACTTTGCCACACCACCGCCGTAAACGTGTATCCCCACCAGAAACCATACAGTGCTTGTAGCCATCGTGCTGAACACACTGAGCCGGCTTATGTTCATCGCTGCTAATCTGATAAGACACCAAAGAACAAAGAAGGGAGAAGGAATTTTCCTGTCTAAAATTGTACTTTTTTTGAGTATTAGTCACGTATCACATTTTTAAATGTATTTAACAGCAGTTTGCTTTTCTTCCTTTTTTGTGAGTTGCCTGATTTTTGCCCCTGGCCTGTTTTTCTTTTAAAGTATGTGTCTCTCTTTCCTGCTGTGTCTCTTACGTCCTTATGTAGCCAGGATATTAGGTCTTAGTCTCCAGTTTGTCCTGCAAGTATTTTTCTAGAGTATTTCCCTTTTTGTTTTGTTCTTGCTGTTCTTAATGTAGAGAATTTCATTTTTCTGTAACCAAATCTTCGTTATTTGCTTCTTAAGACCATTCCCCACCTCAAGATTAAACATCTATTCACATTTTCTTCTTGGTTATTCAAGGTTTTTTCCTAACATTTAAATCTTTAATACTTAGGGAATTAATTTCGGCGTATACAGTGAATTAGAGAATTAAACTTTGTTTTTTTAATGATTAGCCAACTTTAATCACATTTTCTAACTGGTTATTACTGGTAGAAGGGAAACCCAATGATTTTCATGCATTTATTCTAAAATTATCAGCCTTTCTCAAATTCTTACTTATTCTAATTTCTAACTAGTACTCTTTTTCTAGGTAGAAACTCATATGATTTTTCTTCCCAATATTTATACTTCCTATTTTTTTTCCTTTTATTTCTGTGGCTCTAATATCTAGACCAGTCTCAAATAACCGTGTAGATATTATGGTATTTTATATTTTACCAAAATTAATCTGGTATTTTTTCCTTTTAATTTTTAATTTTACAAAATTAAGTGTCTTTTATTTTGCTCTTGCAAAAGCTCTGGCTTGTAGGAAGCCTTCAGTTACCTTTTCCTTTGCACCGTTGATGAGGTCTTGGGGGCCGCCCTTTGGCAGAGTCTGAGTGGAGTTTATTACGGGTACAGGGCTCTCCTGGTCATGAACTTTATGTGAGATAAGCGAGGTGCCCTCTCTGCTCATCCCTTCTCAAGCCAGTCGGCCACTTTGGCCCTAATGCTTATCAGGAAAGCCTGCCGCCTTGATGGCCGAGCACTGACTACAAGGAAACCCTTGTCGGTGTCACCCTGCCGTGGATAACCAGCCACCCCGAAACGTGGGAAAGCCTGAGATTCCCTCAGTGTCTGTTGCGTTTTCTGGACTGTATCAATTGGGAAAAGAAATATTTTGAAGTGACACAGCCCTTGTTATTTGGTACTTGTTTAAGCTGGAAAATTGGGGTTAGGACCTGGAGAAGGAGGGGTGCGGTTGCCCCTGTGCTGTCCCCTAAACCCCTAGGAGAGGGCAGGTTTGGAAGGGAGCATGGGGACCTGCCACTGCAGACTCCCGGTCTTGCCTTTCCCGCCCCGTGTCCTCTGGGAGGCACGTCCAGCACCCATCACCTCGTCCCACCTCGCCCCAGATAAACTCCCCAAACCGTGCGGCCCCTCCGTTCACGGGGAAGCAGCTTCTCCGGTGATGCCAGGAAGCCCACTGGCCGGGAGCCCCTCTGACCCCAGGGGCCCACACCCCACATCACTGCTTCACACGAAGGGGTCGAAGGCCCCTTGGTAAGGCAGGCGGTGCTTTCAGACCCAGCCGGGCCCACAAGGCTGCTCTGGCTGTCAGCTCCTGAGCGCCAGGCAGGCCTCCGGTGTCCACGCAGGTCCCGGGGGACAAAGGCAGGCGGTTTGGATGTGGAGGGCGGTTGGGCAGACAGCCCGTGGACAGTCCCACTGCACCCCGTGTGGCACCAGCACGGCCCCCCGACGCTTGCTGCTGCCCGCTCGTCCCCTCGCTCCTCGTCCTGTCCCCCGCCCTTGTCGTCTGTCCCCGCGGCTCGTGGTGCCTCCGGGGGCACCGGGCGAGTCCTCCCTCACCGCACGCCTGTGTCCCTGCTTCGCGCCCCTCCTTCCTCCTGCGTCTGCCCACCTTCTGCCTGTGTCCCTGCTGCTGCCTAGCACGACAAGGATTTAACAGGGTTATTCAGAGCTTCCACGACTCTAAATAAATGGAGTGGGATTGGGTCATCTTTTGTGCTGTGGTGGAGGCAGGAGCATAGAAAGTTTTATACTTTGTTGAATTTATATTTGTTGAGAACCATTTTATTTGTAAGCAAATATTAGGAACATGAATTTTAAAGTGCTCACTAGATTGTAAATTGCCACACACTTCCAGTGGAGGCTCTTTGCCGCTAAAATCAATACGGGAGAGGAAGAGAGATCCTGGGTGAAGACGTGGGGAGGGATGGTTTTCACATCCGATCTCAGAATGAGTCATCACTTAGAGTCTCTCCTTAGCTGCAGTGACACTAACCGGTCTCTTGGTTCTGTTTTTGTATCTGTTTTGTATGTGTCCCTGTGCTTGCCTACACGGGGTGATTCCAGGATGAAGTCCTGACTGTAATCAGAAGAGTGGACGACAACTGGGCGGAGGGAATGCTGGGAGACAAGATCGGGATCTTCCCCCTGCTGTACGTGGAGGTGAGGCCGCGCTCGCACACTCACCCCTCCTGCGCAGGGAGGTGAGGCCAGGCTCCCAGACCCACCCCTCCTGCACGTGGAGGTGAGGCCAGGCTCCCAGACCCACCCCTCCTGCACAGGGAGGTGAGGCCAGGATCCCAGACTCATCCCTCCTGCACAGGGAGGTGAGGCCAGGACCCCAGACTCATCCCTCCTGTACAGGGAGGTGAGGCCAGGATCCCAGACCCACCCCTCCTGCACGTGGAGGTGAGGCCAGGCTCCCAGGCCCACCCCTCCTGCACGTGGAGGTGAGGCCAGGCTCCCAGACCCACCCCTCCTGCACAGGGAGGTGAGGCCAGGATCCCAGACCCATCCCTCCTGCACGGGGAGGTGAGGCCAGGCTCCCAGGCCCACCCCTCCTGCACGTGGAGGTGAGGCCAGGCTCCCAGGCCCACGCCCTCTCTTGCCCTTTGTTGTTTGCTTCACCAGACCAGAGATGACCTCTCCTCAGGGGACGAAGGTTACCCCACAGTAATCAGAGTTCAGATGGGGATGACATGTGGGTTTTATTCAACCCTGAGGCTGTGAGAAGTGCCTCCGCCTCTTGGGAGTGGTCCTTCCCAGCCCATCATCTTGCCACGTGGGAAATGAGGCAGGGCTCCCGTGCGGACCTTCCCCGGCCCCACTTCTCCGAGACCCTCCAGGTTCTGCTGGGCTTGCCCGCAGCACCCCGGGGAGAAGAGCTCACCGCAGGAAGCAGCTTTCCCGGGGACACTGCCAACAACTGAAGGGAACATTGAGGCTCCCCGGACTTGGGGTTTGGGGCGGCTCATCAGCTCCAACCCTGGAGTGGAGCGTGCTCGGGCTCGTTTGAGGCTGGTTGGCTTCCTGCCTTTTTTCTGTGACCGAGATGCTCTGGGTTTCCAGTGAATAAGTTATGGGCGGTGGCCAAGCGAGAAGCGTTCAGAGCCTTTGACCTTTCAGCCCCTGGTTGCCATGGGCTGTGTGTGTGTTTGCTGTTTGTCAGCACACGTCTGCATGCGCACGTCCCCAGGCTGACCCCACGCTGCGCCTGTGCGCACTGCATCACCCCCGGGAGTCGTTTCAGCCAGTGCTTACGGGGCGTGGGCCCCGGACCCTCCTGAGGAGTCCTCGTCCGGCCTCTCGCACCCCTTGTGTGCAGGGCTGCCCCCCACTCCGCGGGGGCCCAGAGCCGGGTGCGATCCCAGGCCGATGGCTCTCAGCTGGGCCCTACTCCCTCCCCCCAGCGTCCTCGCTCAGAGCCTGTGCTCCCCCAGCCCAGGGCGGGCCACACACGATGCAGGGGACATGGCCAGCTTTGCCCCTGCTGAGCCCTGTGGGCCAGTGGATTCCGGTACCTGCCAGATGAAGGCTGCTGGCTGGGGTGGGTGGCCCAGGCTCTCTGCGCTTATTAGCCTCTGCTTTTCCAGCCTCATCTCCGGCCCTTTCCTCTCCTTCCCCTACATGTCCTGAACCCGCGGTTCTTACATGTACTCTGAAGCAGCAACTCCCCGCGTGACTTTCAGACCCTCCCCAACAGTAAGTCCGCACACACACTCCCCTCTCTGGTACACTTGCGAGGGGCGCATTCATGCACACACGTGCACACACACGCTCTGCTCTCTGCCTCCCACCCCCAGCAAGGACCACAGCCCACAGCACCTCCGGCCTCACTTGTGCATTTGCTCCAACTCTGGGAGGCAGTCTCTGCATCTGCTGCTTCAGACCCAAGAACTCGACGCGTGAAACCCCCACAGTGCTGTCCACATGTGGAGAGTCTGTCCCCCCGGCATCTTTGGCCAGTGGAACCTCTTCCAAGGCAGACTCTCATGGAGCCACTCACAGAAAGATCCCAGGGACCTGTGACAATGCCCCAAAACGGAGTCAGCTCAGACGAGTCACAGAGCTGGGACATCTGCCCAAGGTGGGCCAGAGAAGGTGAAAGGACAGACGTTTAAAAGCATGGATGCAGCTCACGGACACATTTTTTAAAGAAACCAGGTGGAAAAGAGACTGCACTGAAGACTTTCCCTTTTAGGAAGTTCAGGATTAGCAGAACTCCCCCCTCACCCGCGGCTGATGGAAGGGGGTGCCCTGGGGAGACCGAGCAGAGAAGCGAGAGGGAGGCCCCCGGCTGTGGAGAGGCTTCGAGGCTTGATCTGGGAGGTGCTGGTGCGGTGGTGCAGCTGTGAAGTGGTGTAGGTAACATTTTTGCACTTCTCTTTAAAATGCAGTTTCAGAAGCTAAGAAAGAATTTTGTAGGGAACCTGAGGCAGGTAATGGTGCCCCTGCGGGAGGCCGAGCCCGGCGCACTGGCACCCCTGCTCTGGAAGGGGCTCGGGCATCACCCCAGAGGCCGAGAGTGTGGGCTCGGGGCTGGAAACCAGTCAGCAGGGCCTCCTGAGGCTCTCGTGGCTCAGACACTTAGCCAACGGGGAGTCAGTGCCCTTGGGGCTCGACTGCTGGACCCTGGAGGCGGTCCTTCAGAGCAAGGGCGTAGGGGCTCCTGTGTGCCCACCGCCCTCCCAGGTGCTCTGCTCTGAGCACAGCCTCCTGCCCCCCCAGGTCCCCTGAGCCGGGGGCTGGGCTCTCCTCCAGGGGCCGAGGCAGAGCAGGGCCCTCGCTCCTGTCCCGCGCCTCCCCGGGCACAGCGCCGGGCCCGGCACCATTGCCGCAGGGGCAACAGCCACAGACCCCAGGACCTCAGCAGGCACCGAAGGAGGCCCTGGCCAGGTGTCTCCCGAGGCTGATTCGCTGTTTATGTACCCACTCCCTTTCGAAGCGTTGAGCTGACGCTTACTCTCACGCGGCCTCGAGGGCATCGCGTGTGGGTGATAGAGTTCAGACCGTCTTCCTCTGGGCGATGTGCAGGCATCTGAGGCCACAGGGTGGATCTGGGGTCTTTGCAGGTTGGGGCCTGGGCCGGGAGGGAGCGGGGCCTGTGTCGGCGAATGGCAGTTTGGGGTGGCGCTCATCCCCCTGGGTGTTACCCTGTCTTAAATCACGCCCTCACAGGACTGAATTACAGGGAGCCCTCTCCAGCCCTGCAGCTGTGGTTTGAAGGGCGTGAGGGGAGGCTGCTGGGGCCCTGCGTGCCGTCCAGCCGTGACACCTGCCCGAGGAGGACCTTTCTGGAGTGACCTTTGCTCTGGGGACGCGGCACCCGCTCCCATCCCAGGCAGGCTCTTTCCTGGGGCTCGCTGAGTGGGCTGTTAAACCTCTCGGAGCGGGCCTGGCCTCGTGCTGTTTTCTGAGTGGGTATCCAGTCTCCAGAAGCATCCGTATGTCTGATGCAGTGTAGAGGCCCTCCTCTCACCCACACTCTCCTCAGCTGCTGGCTGCATCCACAGCGGGGCCTGGGCCGCTGGTTCTGCGAGAGGGGCACTCGTCTGTCGGCACGACCCTGGCCTAGACCCTTCCTCGCTGCCTTCCCAGCTCCTCCTCCTGCGTTCTGGAACCCACCTCCTGTCCTTCATCCCCCTTGGTTCCAAGGACAGGCACCGTCCAGCAGCCATCTCTACAGTGGGACCAAGGCATAGCCCACGGACGCCTGCCGGCTCGTTGGGTGTCGCTCAGGACAGAGCAGAGTGGGCCACGTCACTCCTGTCCTCGGAGGACAAGCCCCACACGTGGCAGGGCCTCCCTTCCGTGCTCTGGGCCTCGAGGGCCTGGGGTCAGGCGCCAGCCCCCAGGGCCCCGTGCGTGGAGCTTCACTGCTCGTCAGCCGAACGGGAGGATGACCTGTCCCCCAAACACGCAAGACGCCGTGCAAAAGAGGGCAGATGAGGAAAGGAAGCACCCAGCTGCCTGGGAAACGTCTGAGTGGGCGTCAGCTGGATCGGAGGCGCAGGTGCAGGATGGGGACACTGGGCCGGAGCCTTTGGCACGTGGGTGGGATCTGCCTCCCAAGGGTAGACGGGACAACTGCAGGAATGGGTGCAGGTTGGGGGTCCTCAGACCCTGTCCTGGTGTCTCTAAATTAGAGTAATTCCTACCCAAACACCTGCTCCCTGACACGCGTGTGTCCTTACTGTAATGGAAGCTCTGTTTCTCTCATCTGCCCTGTGCCGCCTCCTTTCCTCAGCCCGGGCTCCGCTGCCTCGAGAGTGTAGTGCCTCGAGCCCCCATGTCCCTGTCCCTGCACTGAGACCGCAGCTACCCAGGCCTCCCCACTCCCCTCCAGGCTCGGGGTCTCTGTGCCGGGACCCTGCATTC